TTTTAATTACCTTAACATATTGTATAGTAAAAGGTTGTAAACCGGACTTGTTTAAAACTTAAAACTAAGACAAAACAAGGCGATAGCCGAGCCATTTCAACTGTTTTCTTTAATAGTAAATAGAGGAAAAAAATCAATTACTCAATCAAAACCCAAATTTTATGTACTCCATCACAGCCACACTAACTTCATTCATTCAAGAATAATAAAACAAACTCGTTTTCAACTAAAAGAGTTCCATGTGTGCCAACTTCCTCTTCCGGTAAGTAAAATTCAATGATTGACTCTCTACGTCTGCGTTACGCGTGTCCGTGTAAAAGAGCATTAAGGGCGGAGTTACCACCCTAACGCAATCGTTAATTCCTAAAACCCCAAATTTCGGTGAAAAAACCTCAATTTCTTTTCGGAAAATGGCGTTTGAGCTTCACCGGGTGAGTCTGAGGAGGAGGAGGAATCGATAAAGCTCCATCGAGAACTAAGCACATGTCGTGGTCTAAGCGCGAGATGTCACTCCTTTAGCCCTCCTTACCTGTGGGAGATTGGCGGCGATCTGCCTCTGGAGCGAGTCCCTCTCCTTCTCCACGTCCACTAGCTTCATTTCCGTCTCCCCCAGACGCTCCTGAGTCTCCCGCAAACTGTCCATGAGTTTGTCCCGTTCGTCGAGCATCGAAACCATGAGTTGCTCGAAGTTGGCATCTTCGCCGGAGAATTGAGAACTCCTCTGGCTGATGCTGTCCTCCGAGATGGTCGGCATCACATCGCACATCATGTTCCACATGCTGCCTATTTACAATTAACACATTCAATTCCCCTATTAAATCGGTTCTAACCCCTCACTACATTAACTGATTTGGACGCTTAACCGGACACTAAACCGACACGTGCACATTGTCACATTGGAATATGGTTCATGGGTTAACATTATCGGGCCTGTTTTACCATGACACACCTACAAATACCATCCCTCACGTCCTAACTAACACAAACTTCGAGTCTGACAGCCATTTTGAACTAATGTCAAATAAGCCCAACATGTCGGTATAACAGGACACTGTTACAATTTCAATTATATTATCAATTAAACCATTTATTTCAATAGCTTGAGTGTTTCTTATTCCCAATTAAATGAGAGAATAATTATTCAATTGACAGTTTTGTGATATTAGAAGCCGACCATGTCGGTATAACAGGACACTGTCACAACAAAAGGGCGCTAATAAAATTTATTTCATTCAATTTCGAACCACCACTGTAATAATCAATCCCGTGATTGGCAATTATGTGGCTCGAATCGTGTTACTCCCAATTAAATAATTGTTTAATTGACAGTTGACAGTTTTTTGACAAGTGACAGAACGTCAGTCCATCATGGCTGGTGATAGCGATGGTCTCGTTGCTCATTTTTTGAGTATTTTTTCTATTCCCGTTTTAATATGTACGATTTTCACGATTTGACAATAATTGCAACAAAAACTGCACCATGTTCAAGCATAAAAAATCCGGAAAAAAGCATACTTCAAATAATTTAGCAGGTAATAGTTTTTGTTTACATCATTTTTCGTGTTACTTTTTTTTACAACCTTGTTTAAACTCTAATGATTTATTGTTAAGTGTATTATTATGGAATGTTTCTACCTGTAATTTATACTGTTTCCATGCAATTTGGGGAAACCGACAGACAAGGTCGCATTCCTCATTATTAAGTAATGTGAAAATAGAAAAATACTTTCATTTGATGCCATGATTATGTTACTGACGTGTGGTGTGATTATCAGTCAAATAAAAAAAACAACAGATAAGATTTTACTATCTGGACAGTGTACAGAATGTCTCATCTAAAACTGTTCGAATTATTATTGCGTGAATGAGGTACAAGGTGTCTATAAAAGATTGTACATTAAGAATATTGAGTGATGAAACAGTAAAATAGTAACATCATTTTTTTAACATCTGTCTTGCATTAAATAAAAAAAAAAATTACCTACACTGTATTTAAATTTTACTAATTTTACGTGAAAAAAAAGTTTTCGTTATTTTTCAAACCAGGCCCAATCACGTTTTTTGAGTCTCTAGAACCTCTAGAAATGTAAAAAACGTTATATGGGTTAATTTTAAAGTAAATTTTTTTTTGGATTTTTGTCGAGATTTTGGTCGATTTTTGGCACCCGGAACGGTCTATTGGCAATAACTCCGGACTTATTGGAGATAACCTCTGGCAAGAAAATTTAATTTTCATATAAAAAAAAGATCAGTGTTCTACGATAGATAGTTATCGAGAAAATTTGTGATAAAATCAAAAGTATGGAAAATATAAATCCGACTATAACTTCAAAACTGTTAGGAATTTTGCAGTTTTTTTGACGGCAATCGATTCCCCGGAACATTTTACATAGGTTTAGGTCAAAGTATTATATCATTGAGGCACAGTTTTGCCGCAATTTAAAAAACAAAAAAAAGTAAAAACTTAAAAAATTGTGTTTTTGAACATGTCTCAGATTTGATTTAAACCTATCTTATCCGATAGATTTTGACGCGCTAATTACGAATTTACCAACCACATTGGGCTATCTCCTTTAGTTTCGCCGTAATCGGCGTTTAAAAATTCAAATTTTTTTTGCGAGATATCGACTTGGCTTTGGCCTCAGTGGATAGATTTTCTTAGGCTGATTACGATGGAGTTGGACTGATTGCTCTAAGTCTAATAGTTTGGCCGTAATCGCCGTTCAAAAAGTGAAAATTGTAAAAATTGTGAAACTTTAAACGCGTTTTTCTACGAAACTATAAGATTTAGAGCAAAGAGCTAAAAAAACATTAAAAGTAGCTTGAAATTGTCTATTTATTGGCGCAAACCGGAAGTCGCTCCGGGTTATCGTTCCGGGTACAGAGCCATTTTTAGTTTTTTCAAAAAAAAAATCATATTTCAAAAACTATGAGTCCTAGGTCAAAACGGTTTGTACAGGCGTGTTTTCCGGTTAATCTTACATATAGTACTAGTTTTTCATAAGAATAAAAAAAAATTGATTTTTTGGTCATAATCGGATATAGTGCTTATGCTTTTAGCCTTATTCTTAACTTTATTACTCAATATCTCAAAAACTATGCATCGTAGAGTATTTTAACTTGTTGCATCGTGTTCAGCGGGGAATTTTACGTCTAGAAAACCATATTTCGAGCGTTTTTACGACTTAAGGTAAATTGACTATTTTTACGATTTTACTACCGTTCTTCCCCTTGAAAAATTCAAAAAATTCCAAATTTTTGAAACTTGACCCAATAACATTTTATGCACTTATTTGAGTCTTTAAGACCTCTAGAAATGTAAAAAACGTTAAATGGATCAATTTTAGTGTTGAATTTTTTTTGGATTTTTGTCGAGATTTTGGTCGATTTTTGCCACCCGGAACGGTCTAATGGCAATAACTCCGGACTTATTGGAGATAACCTCTTATATACGATTTCACTAAAGCTCATCTTCAAAAACACAAAAAAAATCGAAATTTTTTAAACTCGACGACTTAGATTTTTCAACAAAAAAAAATTGAATGTTTGTTCCACAAATCGGCATTGATTTCATCGTCAATATAAAAAATGTTCAAACTAAAAATTCTACACTTTTGCTTATTGTTCACTTTTACGATTTACTCAGTGCTAATTAGTGCACCTTCCAGATGTTACAATCAACGACTTTGCCAACTCTTCAGTGTGCAAAAACCGAATTAAAAAATCAACAGCAAACGTAACCAAAGTACTAAAGCAACTAGAAGACGACAAAAACTGGGACGAAAAAACCGAAGATTTCGATGGTAATTTCGTCGAACAAGAAAACGAAGATGGGACCATTTCATACGTCATAATCCCGAAAACTGAGCCACGAAGACGAAGAAAAACTGCATCAAGCAGTGAAGACCGTCAATGTGAAGAAAAAAGCATCGGAAACGAATATCCCATAGACATTTGGTTCCTAATTTCGGAATATATTCGACCTGAAGATGTCGGAAGGTTCGCAGGAATTTGCAAAGCTTCGTACCAAGTGGTTTCAACAGCGAAATTTTGGTTCTCCATGTACAAACGGCACTACAAAAACGTCCCAAATCTCCCGGAACGGCTCCACCCGGAATGCCTTTTCAGGAAATACGGCATACGCACTTCAGTCATAAGGGCTTTAAATTTCATGTACAAACCGTTCATTTCGCGCCTGAAATCCCTCGAACGGCTGGAACAACACCCAGACATGCTGAAAAAAAGCCAATGCGTGTTAATGTGGCACAAGAAAACTGAAAACCAATGTTTGTATTTCTTCAAAATGAAAGTTAATCAACCACATCATCGCAGGACGAAAACCGGTCAAAAACCAGACCTTCTGGAGATGTTAGACGACGTTTTCGCAAATCAAGACGAATGTTGCAGGATTTTGCAAGTCACGTGCAAACACCTCATACCAATAGCCCCAGTTTTGGGGTTAACACTCACCTCGGCCCAACTCAATCTCTCCTCAGAACTTAGATCCTACAAATTACAGTTGTGGTTCGGGTCTGAGATACAGAGTTGCAAACCAAATGCCAACGGAAACACACTCATCATCCTTGAACCTGTGATCAATGTTAAAGTGCTAGACTGGTGGCACCCTCTCTACCCCCATAGCCATAACTTGGAGTTTTTGTGCAACCCGGAATAGCCCCCCTACCAAACACCCGTTAAGATTTTTTACTTAAAGTTAGTTCTTTGCAACATTTCCGATGGATTTATTTTTACAAATAAATTTTTTATTTCGTTTCCAACATATTTCATTAAAAATATGACAATAGTATATTACACTCGAGCTGGGAAATGTATTATATGACATCCTATATATTATTGTTTTTTGACCTCTAGGAGGTTAAGAAGCAGCATATTACTAACATTTTCTAAAAATCCAAATTCTCCATATGGCAAATGTTCACACATTGCCCCTCCATATGAGTTATTCGTATCAAAAACATTAAACAAGGTGTTTTTTACTTGAAAAAAGGCACAAAGAATGTCGTTTTCGACCCCTAATTTGGCTATTTTAGCAAAATTTTGTGGAAAAAAATCAGCTTTGGCTCGAAAACGTTTTTATTTGCTTGAAAATAGAAGAAAATAATATAATTAATAATTGCTAATTGCTTTTTGGTCAGTTTTTTTCAAAAACAATTAAGATTTTTATTCAAGAAATGGGAAAAAGAAAATAATATGATTTTTTAGCTAAATGCTTTTTGGGCATGTTTGGTTCAAAAACAATTAGGATTTTTATTAAAAAAAATGGGAAAAAAATTACTTTTTTCTATCTAATTAGGAGATTTCTCGGCTTCCTTGAGTAAAATGTCGCTAAGGAAAAATGCATTTTTAACTAAAAATTAAAAAAAAAATGTCACTTTCGACCAAATTTGGTTATTTTTTGCTAAAATTTTGCTAAATCTTTCAAAAAACAGTTTTTAACTCAAAATGATGTTAAACACTCTAAAAGCAGCACTAATTTGGTTTGATTTAATTTTTTGCTTGTGAATGAAATTTTTCGAAAAAAAGTAGGTTTTTAGGTCACCAAACTAAATCCAGTGAAGCAGACCAAAATAGAACGATAATTTGAATCTAATTTAGTGATTTTGTGGCCTATTTTAGTGACATTTTGCAAAAAAAAAGAAGTTTTTAGCTCAAAAACCGGCTTTTATTCACAAAACTGTCAAAAGTACTATAATTGTCGATCTAATTTGGTAATTTTTGGGCCTTTTTGACCTAAATTTTTTACTAAGAAGGTTCAAAATAATTAAAACGGCAAAAATATTATCATTTTCGACCTAATTTGGTAAGTTTTGGTCTGTTTTAGCCAAAAAAATTGAGTTTATTAGCCCAAAAATGTATTTAATTAAAAAGACAAAAGCAGCACATTTTTTATTGATTTTTCTACTGGTTTGAACAAAATTTTGCAAAAAAATTGCATTTCTGGCTCAAGATCTTTCTTAAACGTTTGAGAAAGTGAAAAATAACATTATTTTCGATTTAATTTCGTGATTTTTTTTATCTTGTCTTGAAGTCTGATTTAAAAATAGGCAAAAAACATTATTTTCTTTATAAATAGGAAACTTCTTGACTTGCTTGAGTAAAATGTCACAAAGGAAAAGTGCATTTTTAACTTAAAAGTCAAAAAAATGTCGTTTTGACAAAATTTGGTATTATTTTGCAAAATCTTTCAAAAAAACAGTTATTAACTCAAAATGATGTTAAACGTCCTGAAAGGTTTTTTTTTTTTAAAAAAGCAGTTTTTAATATTTTATTTCGTTCCCAACATATTTTATTAAAATATGGCAATAGAGTATATTACACTCGAACTGGGAAATATGTTATATGACATCCCATGTATCATTGTATTCTTGGCTTCTAGGAGGTTAAGAAGCAGCACATTGCCCCTCCATATGAGTTATTCGTATCAAAAGCATTATACAAGGTGTTTTTTACTTGAAAAAAGGCACAAAGAATGTCGTTTTCGACCCCTAATTTGGCTATTTTAGCAACATTTTCTGAAAAAAAAATAGTTTTGGCTCGAAAACGTTTTTATTTGCTTAAAAATAGAAGAAAATAATATAATTTTTTATCTAATTGTTTTTTGGGCATGTTTTGTTCAAAAACAATTAAGATGTTTATTCAAAAAATTGGAAAAAAAAAACTTTTTTCTATCTAATTAGGAGATTTCTCGGCTTCCTTGAGTAAAATGTCGCTAAGGAAAATTGCATTTTTAACTAAAAAGTCAAAAAAAAAGTCACTTTCGACCAAATTTGGTTATTTATTGCTAAAATTTTGCAAAATCTTTAAAAAAACAGTTTTTAACTCAAAATGATGTTAAATGCTCTAAAAGGAGGTGATTTTTTGCTTGTGAATGAAGTTTTTGGAAAAAAAGTAGGTTTTTAGGTCGCCAAACTAAATCCAGTGAAACAGACCAAAATAGAACTGTAATTTGAATCTAATTTAGTGATTTTGTGGCCTATTTTAGTGAAATTTTGCAAAAAAAAAAGAAGTTTTTAGATCAAAAACCTGCTTTTATTCACAAAACTCTGAAAAGTAGCATAATTTTTCGATCTAATTTGGTAATTTTTGGGCCTTTTTGAGCAAAATTTTTTACTAAGAAGGTTCAAAAATAATTGAAACGGCAAAAATATTATCATTTTTGAGCTAATTTCTTGGCTTGCTTGAGTAAAATGTCACAAAGGAAAAGTGCATTTTTAACTAAAAATTTAAAAAATGTCATTTTCGACCAAATTTGGTCATTTTTTGCCAAAATTTTGCACAATCTTTCAGTTTTAACTCAAAATGATGTTTAACGTCCTAAAAGTTTTTTGAAAATTTTATTTCGTTCACAACATATCTTATCAAAAATATGACAATAGTATATTACACTCGAAATGAGAAATATGTCATATGACATTCCATAATATTATATTCTCGACCTTCAGGAGGTTAGGAAGCAGCATATTACTAGTGATTGGATTAAAGAAAGAACAAAAAACAATATTTGTTAACGAAAATTCATAATTTATTAACTTAAATGTAGAATATTTAATCATCAGCTTCACAAAAGCTGTTCTCATATGCAGCAGTCTTGTTTTCAGGCTTTTGGAGAGCCCAGGGTTGTACTTCCCCGGAAGCAAAAACTCCATACACAATACTTCCCAGTACAAATAATCCACTAGCTATGAAGAATACTATTTGCCACTCATCTGCGGACTAAATTAGTACATTACTATACAATTTTACAAATAATAAGACGGTATATGGGCACTTGGGCAGTGCTGCCATCTCAAAACAAGTAAACTCACCAAATCTGAGCTGAAAAGTTACCAGATTTACTCGTCGAAAATTCACGTTTTTTACATAAATCTCGCAAATCTACTCAAAAACGTGCTTAAACGACAGAAAAATTCAAAAATAGGTAATCATGTTTCATTTAGTCTAATTCTGTAATATTTTGGATAGTTTTTAATTAAATTTTGCGAAATACCGGACAAAAAATCCATTGACAATAGAAGTTTGACGTTTGAATTTGAAAGTCAAGGTTGCCAAATTAAATTTTAAATTTGACACCAAATCGATATTTACGTTTTTACTTGAAAAACCTGCTAAAACACGTGATATAAGCAAAAATAATGACTTAATTTAATGTTTTTTTGGTTTGTTTTAGCAAAATCTTGCAATTAACACCATTTTCGACCATATTTTGTGATTTTTGTCCTATTTTTTGGACAAAATTTCGCTCAAAAAGAGCTAAATCGAATGAAACAAACGAAATGACATCAATCTAGATTTATTTTTGTTGTGTTTAAGCATATTTTGACAATATCCTCCAAAATAAATGAGTCTCTGGTTCAAAAACGAACTAAATCGAGCGAGACACGTTAAAATGATATCAATTTCAATCTAATTTGGTAATTTTTCAGTCAGTTTTAGCAAAAATTTGATTATATTTTAAAAACGTGCTGAAACACTCTAAAATGCAAAAATAACACTAGTTTTGACCTAATTTGATAAATTTTTGGTTTGTTTTTAACGAAATTCTGCAAAATAGTTCTGTTTCTGGCTAAAAACATACTAAAATGCTCAGAAATGGACAAAATAATGTACTTTTTTACCCATTTTAGCGATTTTTTACCTTGTTGAGTGAAATATCATTTAGAAAAACAAAACTATCTCTCGATTTTTAACTTGTTTTGAAAAAAATTAGCATTTGAGTTTCTGATTGGCTAAAAAACGTGCAAAATGCTCAAAATAAAAAAAAAAAAATGTGGCATCATTTTTGACACATCAATAATTAAAAAATCAAATTGAAAAGTTAATTTTACAAACATTTAGGCGAATACTCGATTTAAAATATTATTTCAAAATACATTAATTTCTAAAAAAATCATCAGAAGTTATAATTTTTACAAAAGTTTTCATCAAATCATTAAACTAGTAGAAAAATCACCAGACCGGCAACACTGTATTTGGGACACAACGAGCGCAGCGAGTGCAAAAAATTAGATGATACTACTAACACAGCAAAAAAGTATCTTACCGGTGTCGTAACTATATATCCTGTAACAATGGGGCTAAAAATCCCCGCCAAGGTTCCAAAAGTGTTACTAACTCCCATAATAACACTCGCATATTGCGGGGCAATGTCCAGGTAATTCACCCTACAAATTATTCCTTACTTTTCCTAAGAAAAACTCCAAAATACGCACCCAAATCCTGACCACGAAAAAACCCCCAAACCCACGGCGAAAACCAAGCAGATAATCGTCGATAAAGCAGTTTGACTGAAAGCTGCACCAATCATAAACACAGCATGCAAGATAAAAGCCCCACAATTGAAGATTTTCCGCACTTGTGTCGTAGTAAAAACCTTTTTTTCCATGAGACGATCGGCCAAATGACCGGAAACTTGAATCATGATGGCCATGGCTAGGTAAGGAATGGCGGTGAGGTAACCAGTGGTGCTCAGATCAAAATTTAGCACTTCTGCAAAAGATTCGACAAATTGTTTTTTTCCACGACTGTAACAAAAAGTGGGTTTTTCTGCCCTAATTTTAGGACGGAAAGTAGCCAATTACCCCCCAGGGGGGTATACGAAATGAAAATTTTCTAAAAACCCAAATTCTCCATATGGCAAATGTTCAGACATTGCCCCACCATATGAATTATTCATATCAAAAACATTATACAGGGGTGTTCCGTTTTCATTGTTACAAATTGAAACGGGTATACCATTTTCAGTTTAATTTGGTAATTTTTTGGCCCTTTTGGGTGAAATTTCGCTTGAAAAAGGCAAAAATAATGTCGTTTTCGACCCCTAATTTGGTATTTTAGCAAAATTTTGTGAAAAATTTTTAGTTTTGGCTCGAAAACGTTTTTATTTGCTTGAAAATAGACGGAAATAATATAATTTTTTACCTAATTGATTTTTGGACATGTTTTGATCAAAAACAATTAGGATTT